TCAGTATTTCGCCTGTTTAGTTTGACCAAAATATTGAAATTACGTTGTGAAATAAATCTCTATACAGTACAAAAAAAACATATTTGTTATATCCACAACTTCATGATAATATTCTTTTACGCTTGAAGTTATGAACTGCTGTTAAAAAAATATTTTAGCTTTATTAATGAACAAAAGCTTAAAAAAACATGAAAAAACATGAAAAAGATGTGAAAGAGAGATTTATTATCGTGCGTAATGGTAAACAGTAAAACAAATAATTAATTAATGATGAACCAATCAAATTTGGAGGGTCCAGGTTAAAATCCTAGACCTCCTGGTGCAGGTTAAGATTCCCCTTTCCAAAGAGAGGACGCTTGCTCTGTCATGACGCCTTACGTCATGATCCTGACTATACTGCGTTAACTTAAAAAGAAGTTAAATCGATCCTGGTTGCAATTCAAGTCTTGGAAAAAAAAATCGTACAAATTTTCCTGGGAAAAAAAAAAGAAAAAAATCAGGTGCTAATTTTAAACCAAATATGTATGTATGTGGCATGATCGAAAATACGTACCCTTTGCATATTTTTTTTTTTAAAGGTGATTTCTTTAAGAAATTTAAAAATTTTATTCGTTTCAGCCATTTTTCAACAATGAACGATTCATCGCATGTTTGAAAAAAAAAAGATTATCAAAACGTTACAATAGGGTATTGTTATAAATGTTCATAGATCATATCCCGAAAAGGGACCAAGGTTTCGGTACATGACAAAAAAAATTGCACATGAAGCAGTTTTGTTTCATGAGGTTCATTTATCATAGTTTTATCTATTAATAGGTTTTAGCACCCAAATATATATCTAACTAACTAATAAAAGTCAATTTATCGTAAAGGAAAATCACAATCACAACGATGATCAATGGCTCGACGCATTGTTGAACAAAAAACCGTCAGATTTTTTTTTTTTTTAATCTCCGACCACTTTTAACCTCGATTGGAAAAGTATTTCGAACTTTTCTCGGAATCGTTCCTAATCTGCTACGGAAATTTTTTATAATCTTTCTTGGCAAATTACAAACTTAAGTGAATTTTTCTTGACAATCACAATCATATGATCAGAAAGCGAGTACAAATTTAATGTAATGTGGTACGAATGATCTTCTTCATAGAACTTCATAATCATCATTTCCATCAAAAATTTCTGATTGTTTCCATACAAAGTTAACAGATAGTAATTGAATTAATTGCAATAAATTTTTTCAATTAATCATCTCCCCAAAAGGGTTAAAGGAATTTGTTAAACTTTGTCGTTTAACTTTCACATTAAGATCAATTGATTGAATCAATCAATTTATTTAATTTATTTGTTTGACAAATAAAAAATCCCGTATGAGCGTTAAATTGGGGTCCTAAAAAATTTGTTAAAAGGGAGGATTGAAATTTTCTTGTAAACAATCATGCTTACAAATAATTATTATTTACCAAACTTCATTATGTTGCCTTGCACATGGAGTAAAAGAAAAATTAAGAGCGTAATTATTTGCATATCCAAATAATAAATTTTATAAGATAGGGAATACAACGGGAATACAACGCAAATTAGGCTGCATTGACACACCAAGGATCCTCCCCTCTTCATAAAAGTTTTGCCTTTTGGAAAATTACGCGAAGGAATCGTCAATGCATACGGAATTCAAAAAGTCAAAACCCCGCGCTTTTCTCGTGCTGACCGTTTGCATCTATATGATAATATTGTTCGACATTTTTAAGGGGTTTGTCTAACGAACGTCCTTTGTGATAAAGTTTAAACTTTCGTACCGTCACGAACGAAATATCATACATTTTGATACAAATAAAGAAGCAAAAAGATATATACAATTTTGCTTCTTCATTCAGTAATGAGCATAAAACGTTCTTGCAAGAATAAATCATAGACCGAATCTACTGTTTAATTCCGATCCTCGATTCTTGCGCATCATTGATCAAAAAAGGATCCGATTTTCATAATGAAAACCAAAACAAATGGTACAAAATGGAAGGGATTTACGATGAAATTTAATTACCTATTAACCAAATTAAGTAATAATCTAAACATTAGGTAATTTAGCGAATACACCGTTTTGTTTTATTGTAATAATACCCATTTCAGAAATGAATTGTGATGATGTTTTCCGATTCCTTTTTACTCCGACAATTTAAAAGGATAACTCCGACATGATTGTTTACAGAAGACGAACGATCCTAATATCTTTAGATCCTACGCCACCACCAAAAAAGGTGGTTATCCATCTTCCTCATCTCTCCCTGTGTTGTAACTAGTATTTGCAGGTTGCTTGTAAGTTTAAGTTGTATTTATTTATGTATTTATCCTTTTCAACAATTATATATGCTCCGAATGTTCTAAAATAGCTTATCATAAAGTCCCCTATGAGCTGCATAAATTGCACAACGTTCATCATAAAAAAAACCATGCATGCTGTTTTGACACAAAAAAAAAAAAAAATAATAATTTTGTGTATATTTAGAAATTTAATAACTCGGATAGGTTTCCGATATTTGACATTTTTAATCTCCCACTAACTATTTTAAAACGTTTTTTTTGTTTATGAAAAAAAATAAGAGATTTATTAATAATTGTTTTTATTTACACGGGGTGTATTTACCGTTATGGTTATGCATGATAAATTATCATTGCTGAAATGAAATATGAAAATACAATCGATATTAAAAGCAAAGCTCATAAAGGTAATAACATCAATAAAATCTATGTAATGTTATTGATAAAAATAAATAATTAAAATAAAATAAAGTAAATTAAATTTTTATATTTATTTATACATCTATTGTATGCAGCAACCGATATTAATTCCTTCACGGGGACAAAAGCCTATCATCTTGGACGTGGTTTGCTTTTTTTACCGTTCTTTGATATCTCTCATTTCTATCGCTTCCGACTGTATTGCTTTACACACTTACACACGCAGCAATCACGCATATGAGGGATTATTCGCATCGATACCTGTTTACTTTTTTTTTTTTAAGTTTTTTTTAAAAAAAAAAAAAAAAAGGCGAAAGTTAATTTTAATTTATTTTTATCAACCCCCTTTCCTTCCCCTTTATTTTATTTTTATTTTATTTTACTTATTTTAAAGATTCCCCACATCATCTGTCAATTTCTAAATTTTAGGGTCTATTTTTACCCCGATAAATATAGATTACTCGGATTATTAAACATTAACATTCACTCAATCACAACCCCTTAATGCACAAATCCTTATTTAGGTTTTTCCCCATAAATCATTATATACCTTTTTTTAATCAAGGAAAAAAAAAAAAAGATATTTAAACACTTCATTATTTCCATTGAAACCCATCTTTTCTTTATTCCTTGTCCTTTCACATTTATTATCCATAATAACTAAAAGATTATACGAAAAAAAATAACGTTTATCGTTCATACATATATACATACATACATACAACACATTACGCTTTTTTTTTTTTTTTTTTTTTTTTTAATAAAAAGACACAAAATGCAATTCAAATCAATCATATTATCCATCGCTTTATCGGTAGCTTGCGTATCAGCACAAGATGATGGTGCTGGATTCTTTTTTAAATGCGACGCTCCAGGAACCGTCGCTTTAACGTTCGATGACGGTCCATCAGATTTCACACCAGAATTATTAACAACCTTAAAGACTGCAGAAATCCCAGCGACATTTTTCGTTTTGGGTAAGAGCATCAATGCAGGACAAGGAAAAGCCGCACTCAAAGCCGCTTTCGACGCGGGACATCAAATCGCTTTGCATTCAAACACACACGCCGATATGAACACTTTAACCGCAAAAGCCATTCAAAGTGAATATGAGCTCAATATTAAAGCTGTTGAAGATACTATCGGTGTAAGACCGAAGATGGCAAGGTAAATTTCAAACCTTTTTTTTGATATTTTTTAAAAAAAGTTACGAAACTTGACATTAACTTTTATCCCTCCACGTTGTTTCTCTTTTAGACCACCTTACGGTAATTGCAACGCAAATTGTGCCAAGGTTTTGACTGGCACGATGGGTTTATCCATCATTCAATGGAATTGTGACTCTAACGACTGGCAGTACGAAGGAAAAGTGAATGAATATGGAAAAGTTTACACCAACATGGAGGCCATTATAAATCCATCCAATCCAAAGACGGATTCTTTCATTACGCTGCAACACGACATAAAAGATTACAGTGTGCAAATGACCCCAAAGATCATTGATATGATCAAGGCCAAAGGTTATCAGTTTGTTACAGTTGAACAATGTTTAAGTGGTAAAATCCCAGCTTATGATGGGAAAGCAGCAGCAACAAAAGCTCCAGCTCAAACCACAGCAAAGGCCCCACTTAAAGCTCCACAACCAGAAGCTCAACCAGAAACTCCATCAGAAACTCCAAAAATTGTTGAAGGACCTGCACCAGAAAACGAAGTCCCTGTCGCAAATGCTGAAGAGAAATCAGACAAGGTCGTCGCCAACTCTGCCGAAAAGCTTTCAAGTATATTTGGTTTTACCTTGATCGGTTTAATATCTGGTTTGTTAATGTACTAGGATGAATTAAGTACTAGGAAGAAAAAAACCCCCAAAATAAACACCGACATTTAAAAAACGTATATATTGCATAATTTTAGATAGAATTTAATTTAGATTTCGTTTAATTTTTAGTTTTTTTTTTTTTATAAATCTTAATATACATTTGGGTTTGATTTAATGCAGTTGGTTTACAAAACTTTTTAATTTATTTTTATCTTTTTTTGATTTTAATGTAAGTTATATTTGTACTTTTACATACACAATTTTCCTTTCCAATCCTCCCCGTATATATATAATAAATATCAATTTTGACGACACCTTTAATTATTTTAGTGAAAAACTAATTTTTTTAATTAATGCCGATTGGCATTTGTTTGGTAGGCACAGCAAAAAAAAAAAAAAAAAAAAAAAAAAATAAAATAAAATAAATAAATAATTACGCAAGTCGTTGATTGGATCAATTGAATGGGTTAATAAATGGGGGAAAAAAAAATTCATCGTCAGGATTTTAATCATTATCTAAAAATCTTTTTCACAATTTATAAGCAAACCGGGGTGTTGGCGCAATGGTAGCGCGTCCGCCTCCAGAGCGGAAGGTTGGGTGTTCGAGTCACTCACACCTCACTTATTCAATTAATTTATTAAGAATAATAATTGGTTGAAATTTTTTTTTTCATTTTTAACATTTTTTTTTTTTTTATAATTTTTCTTATCATCATTACATTTAATGTTATACGTAAGGATTCATTTTGAGGCGAAACAAGGGATTAATTATGAAATAAGAGCTTTCAATTATGTCAAATTTACATTTATTTATTTTAATTATCACATACATGAAACAGAAGTTAAAATATAAAGATTAACAATAACTTTTTATTCTTTTCATTCAGAATTCTCAAACGTATTTATTTTTGTTTTAAAATTCTCATTTTGAACATAATTAACATCAAAAAGAAAATAATAATAATAATAATTATAATGGTAAACTATACATATATATATTTTTTTTTTAAAAGTTAAAAAAAAAAGTGTTAATCGCAAGAAAGGTAAAGTTATTTAACCGGGTTGAAATCTAATCTTAAGGTGATTACACCATCTTTAGTGAAACCCAAATTATGTTTTAATTCATGCGTTTCCTCAACATGATGTTTTGTGAACACGTCAGTAAGATCGATTCTACCTTCAGCCAACTAATTGCGTAAAATAAATAAATGATTAATAACTTTAGATGAAACCTGGTTAATTATTATTTCAACAACAACATACCCAATCATCATTAGTTTTCCCCTTGTCTGCCTTTTCTGGGTCAGAGTCCCATATCTTGAAGTAAAGCCTACTCTGTCTATCAATTTGGCTATAAAGCGCAATAAGCAAAGGAATAATGTTAAAGGAAAGGGTGATTTTTCCATGAAATGCTCACATGAATTTCACAGACGGTTCACTTACAATGTAAAAGTCTCATTCCAGACTGGATCTAAAGTGCCAACTTTAGTTGTCGTTCTTTGATGATCAGCTCCGTCAATCGAAAGTATAACATAGGGATCACTCTTTCCTGTAATTTGAAGTTTATAACATTAAAAAAATAATCAATAATCATCTAATATCAACAAAAGATTAAGAATTTATTTGGATATCCTACCGACTTCATCCGCATTTCTCAAACCTTTGGCTGAAACTGTTAGGATGAAAAAATTTGAAACGTAGAATTCAACGGTTAGAAAATATAAAAGGGAAAATGAGTCTTATCTATAACGTTACGAGACTTGCCTACGGTAACTTTAAGTACACCTTTCATTTTATTTATTTTTCTTTTTTTCTCTTAGAAAATTTATCAAGCAAAAAAAAATTTTTTTTTTTTTTTAAAAAATACGAGGAAAGGACCAGGCTGAATTTAAAAGGAATTTGTGATTAATATTTGATGTGATAAATCTGGCTATTTGGTTATCGGGACTAAACCGAAATAGTTTTAATCTGGGCGTTTGAATCATTCACATGAAGATTATAGTGATATTTGACAAATGTCAATGATTTCTCAATAAGGTGTTATTGGAAATTTGGCTGATAACATTGCATGCATGATATTTAAACTCGTAATACAAAATGCAGATGAATGGTTCGTGATAATGTTAATCATTACATTGTATCACAAATTTTAAACTCGGTTTTATTGACAAGAATAAAAAAATTTAAATTAATTTTAATTAAACAGCGTATTCGAGGATTAAGTGAACCTCTCCATGGTTCCTTTTGTCATTTTTTGCTTTTATTTTGATCCAAACATCGTGGTAACCTTTAGTATAAACAGTATTTAGTGGGATAACTTCCGAACCGATCTGTTAAAAAAAAAGAAATTAGAAAAGAAATAGTAAATGTAATCGATTATAAATATTTTAAAAAATGCTATATATCTTACTATTTCATCACTTCCGATAGTATTTCTATCCCAAACTTCAACCTTAAGCTCCTTCTGTCCATCAGTGGTGCTATTAAAAGGTTCATGTAATGAATTTAGTCACCGGACAATAAACATTTTATTTTTTTTTTTGCAAATCAAAAATAAAAGTCTTACAAATCAAATTCTTCATTATATTTTGGGCTCAAATCGCTTTTCTTGATTGTAGTCTGTTGAGATTTATTTTCATCGAGGACAAGTTTCACGTAGGGGTCACCTATTTTAAGAATTAACTGTGTTGAACGAAAGCCTGGTGATCCATATTTTTCATAAGTTTATATATACATACTTTTACCAATCAAGTCTAAATCGCTCAACTTCTTGGCTTCAACTTAATACATTGAATGTAAGAAAAAAAATTAGAGGTTATTTATGTAATTTATTTACATTTAAAAACTTACCAACAATAACTTTAAGACTTCCTTTGGTCATCTTGATAAAATTGTACGAGAGAAAGGGTTATTTTTTTTTTTTTTTTTCCAAAGATGTAACCAATTTATATATAAATTATGACATATAAAGTCAGATTATCTATAGGCGTGAGAAAGTGATATAAACTTAATCATCACCGTCACCCAAACCATGGGCGTGGGCGTTATTCCAACATTACACTTTCTCTAAAAAGGACATGTTTATTATAATTCCTATTTTTGTACATATCGATTCGGGTAAATATCATATACACGTGTAAATGTTATATCGAATTATTCGTTTATTTTTATTGAAATAGATTTACAAAAGAAAAGAAAAAGAATTAAGAGGGAGTGAATTCTAGTTTTAAGTGAACTTCCCCCCTGCTTCTTCCAATTGTATGTTCTCTCATTGTGACCCAGATATCTTCACTCCCTTTAGAGATGGCATGAGAAAGCTTAACGTCGTTTTTTCCAATCTAATGAAATCGTTATCAAATCAGAAATCAAATGTTTTATCCAAGATAAATCTAATTGTAGTTTATTCTCACCAAATCATCTTTTCCAATATGATCTTTGTCCCAAACTTCAAGTTTGAGGGACTTTTCTCCGTCAATGTCGCTACAAGCGTTTATCATTTGATTTAGCTTTTGTTAGGTGATTTAAATTTTAGGAATAATTAGATTCTTACAATAAGAATTCTTCATTATAAGTTGGATTCAAGTCACCACTCTTAACGGTGGTCTGTTCTTTTTTGCCTTCAATCATAAGTTTAACATAAGGGTCACCTATTTTCAAGGCACGATATTTCATCAGCTATCAAAGAATCAAGTTTTTTTTTTAAAAAAAAAAAAAATGAAAAATACGTACTTTTGCCGAGTTTGTCTTCATCTTTCAAATTTTTGGCTTCAACTTAATAATTTGATAAAATAAAAGTAGTTTATAAAAATTTTTTCGAGATATATATATTTTTTCTTTTAACATTAATCACTTACTAACTGTAACTTTAAGAACTCCTTTTTCTTTTTTGGTCATTGTAAGTTTTTGGACGAAAATAATTATGTCAATTTAGAGGAGTCCCATTTTTATACTAAAAAAAAAAAAAAATTTCGTGGCGTGGGCGTTGTTTTTAACTGTTTATTTTGGTAATATTTAACCGTCATTATTTTTTTTATTTTTGCCAAGGCTCATTGTACATCACACCAGCTGATCATTTTACGGCAGGCTTGCGTTACACTTCACTACCCAATGCTATTATAATTTTCTATTTTCAACCTTTATTAATTTTCTTCTATTAAACTCTTGGGTTCACTATAATTAAATCTTATTGGCTATTCGAAACCATAATAAAACCTCGTCAAAACTATATTTAAGAATTCCATTTGCTGCCGCATTAATGGCAAAAGGCAACGATGACAACGTGTCGTTGATTATTATTTAGGAAAATTAATATTTATTATTTTTTTAAAAAAAAATGTTAAAACAATATTATTTAATATCTGTAAATGTTTTTTTTTTTGAAATAATTATATGCGCGTGATGTAATTCCCGATACGATCGTAACCATAAAGTAAATTAATTAATGAATTCCATAATCAAATGAACTTCTCCCTTGCTTCTGAATCCAAGTTTACCCTTTGTCAATTTCACCCAAGTATCTACGTATCGTTTAGAGGAAATATCAGAAAGTTTAATCTTCTCTTCGCCAATCTATTTAAACAAAAAAAAATTAGTAAATGAAATTTTGTGAATTTTAGAAATTTCCAAGTGCTTCATACCAAATCATCATCACCGACTGTATCCTTGTCGAAAACTTTGATTTCAAGCTTTTTTTGTCCGTCAACGTTGCTACAAAAATTATCAACTATTTGTTCAATAAGATGAATACCGATAAATTCATCATATAATTAATAACTTACAAGGAGAATTGTTCATTATATACTGGATTCAAGTCGTTTTTTTTGGTTTGAGTCGTTTGAATGTTATTTTCATCGAGAATAAGTTTAACATATGGGTCACCTATAAATTGACGGTTGAAATTACTTTTAAAGAATTAAATGAAATTTTTTATTTTTAACAAGATACGTACTTTTGCCGACAAGATCTTCATCCTTCAAATTTCTTGCTTCGGCTAATCGAATAAAAAAAAATATATATTATTATTATTATATTTATGTGTATATATATATACACATATTTTTAATATATTTTTCTTGGCAATAATCTTACCGACGATAACTTTAAGAGTTCCCTTCATTTTTATAAAAAGATTATATTAAATAAATTAAAATTTGAAAAATGTGAAATGTGAATGTTTGTCGAAGAACCCAAGTTTTTATTTTGATCATTTTATACAGGAATTTCCTTCCAGGGGGAAAAATATGGCGTTTTTTTTTTTAAATAAGATCTTAGAGCATCATGATGTAATAATGCTTCGTGAATTTGATGATTGGCTAGTTTAACTTACTTATATTTAGGGTAACGATTTAGAGTTCGACTATGAGTTGATTGCTAGGAAAATCAGGTTCCGGACAAATTACCCAATTTTTATTGCATTTTAGTTTTTGATATTATTAGATTAAAATGTATTAATGTTCTTAATTTTAGTTTAAATTTCTCGGAACCTGGATTTTCTCCCATATGAACGTTTTGCAGCATATTTAACATGGAAAGTAAAATTTATAATTTCTTCCCTTTCTATTGTAAAGCATTCATATTAAAAATTTGACATTATAGATATATTTTCTCGTAGCTTTGCATTATTGTCTTTTATTTCAAATTAATATATATTCTATTTATAAAAATTATGTCATACTAGAAAATGTTAGTTTGTAATTATCTTATTTATAATTGTAGTTTAAATAATAAAATAAATTACAAATTCATAGGTATAATAATTCATTAATAGAAATTATTCTCATTATGGAATTTTTAGTATTATCTTTAATTTTGTAACATATTATCTGAACATTTAGATTGATAATATTATTATAATTACTATTTTAAAAGTAAAAGAATTAATATATATATTGTCAAATTAGTCATTTTTTTTGCGTATTTAATTTGTTAACAAATCTGTAAAATGTAATTTCCTGAAATATAATTTACAGTTCTGGCGGAAAAAAATGACAATTTTTTTTTGATTTTGGAGCGGATCACGCGAAATGTCTAAACAAAAACATAAATTATGATGTAAACAAGTTGTTTACATCATATTT